TTTTTTTTTTTGAACTCTATTTGCATGCCATTTTAATTTGCAATCGAGACTCTGCCTTTTGTAGGGGGTAAAGAGATGGAAAAGCCATACCTGATCCTTTCAGGTTGTCCTTTTTTCTAGTCAAAGAAAAGTCGCAAATTCCTCAAATTAGATTTTAATTTGTCCAGTCCTAGATGTTGAGTATTTTACAACAAACCTCACCCATCTTAAATGCATCATAAGCTTGAGTTCAATAAATTGATACAATAAAATTTTTAGTTCAAGGACAAAATCGGTGCAAAATTCAAAGTTGAGGAGCTTGGCGTTAAACGAATTTTATATCTTTTCACGGTAATCCCTGTTGAAATGCAATGGGGGTCATTTTCAGGGCGGTGTCAACAATATTTTGTAGGTTTTCCGATGTGCTCACTCAGATTGCGGATGGCTTGTGGGTTTAGACTTTAGAGGTCTTGTTCTTTCCCCTCTCGTCTGAGGATTGAGGCCAGCTAGCGCTGCTGGGTTGGGTATTGCTTTCCTGATCTCTTCTTATCGAAGGAGCTTAGTCATCAACAGTTTAATTCTGGTGGTGGGTACCTTATACGTACGGTTTTGTTTTTTGGGTTTCTTTTCTCTTAGAAACAATTCTGTTCCTGATCCTCAAGTTGTAAACATGGTCATTTCATTATGATGATATGCAAACTTAAAATGATCTATTTTGTGTGATGGAGTATTGTAGTTCCTTCCCACTTAATATTATGATAACGTAAGGGATTAATGGCTTACAAATATCCACCAACTTTGATTGTATTAAATTCAGCGGACTGACATCTAGCTACCTGGGTGCAAACCTTGATTTGATCTTTTCAGCCTCCGGAGTAGCAATATGGAATGCCTTGGCCAAGACATTATCAGGCAATGCTGGTGTGGCTTGGCAAGGGCAGCAAAGAAGAAATCATTCGGAGTTACAGTTGCAGCATTCTTGCAGGTGTACCCATTTATTTTCACTTCTGCCGTACGTGTGGATGAGTTAATTTGTAATTGAAGGAACATTATATAGTATATT